GAGCCAAAGATGTTAGAATTGTGTCGATGTCCCAATATTTCTGGACCTGACTGTATGTACCCATTCAAAGATTTGAAATCCTAACATACAGCAGGAATTGAGGCACTTTAGTGATATGTAGGACTATGTCACAGATTTTTCTCCCCATTCTACCATTTTCAGTCATTCTTACTACTACGGATCTTAGAAGATTCTCAAGTTCATTGTTAAGATATGCAAAGAACTGATTCCCCTGCATGCATGAACATGCTTTCCATTTGCATGTGGGATTTTACTGATGCTTTAATGTCTCTCCAGAGCAGGAAACATTTTACCAAGCTCATAATTTAAAAGAATGTTAAATGCAAATATCAATAACTCTAAATGTTTTTTTACATTTTACTGATATACACTGATACAGCAGGTTGGTATTATTCCCATAGTGTAAAAGCAAGAGGCAGATGCAGCAACAGAATTCTGATGGACATCTTCATTACAGATTGCTTTATCACTGATGGAGCAATATAGGAATGTCAGAGGTGGCTGCAACGTCCTGGGCTTTGCCATCATAGCACCAGTTCTGGTATTACCCCATTCCCTCTCTTTCTCATACTTACCTGGTTTCAATAATTTCTTTTTAATTCCCCATACACCCTGTCTCCACTTTACCTACCCATTTTTTGTCATTTTTTTCCTATGATAAATTATTGCTGGCTGCTGTAGCATGTATAATATCAATAAAATTATTGGAACAAAAAAAGGCCTACAAATTCATGCAGGTGGTGAATTTGCTGAAGATTCATTATGAAGATGATCTGGCTCAGTACATGTACTTGATATATACAGAGAAGTGTGTCTGTCAGGTAGGTTTCAAATACTAAAATGCCTTCATATTAAGATAATCTAGATGCTTTTAAGTAGCTTGTCCCACACAATTGCATCAAGCCCACTTTAAAACATGCTAAGTCATGAAATTCAAAGTAAGTTTCCACTGAGGCCTCTGTAAAATTGACAATTTTTAAAATACAAATATAATACAAATTAGACAGTAGTCAAAAAGCAGTACATAAGATAGCTTTAGATCGGGGTTATGCAACCTTTTTGCATCTAGGGTCTGTGTTTTTGGGTTACCAAGTTGTTACAGTTGCTGACATAACGGCATTGGATGGTTGTTGGTTTTCTTCTTCTAGGTGTGCTAATACTATCAAGTGAATTAGTTAGCTTTGCTTTCCATCAATATTGGGGAAAATCATCCTTCCAAGGTTCAGTTTACTGCCCAAATTTACCAACACTGTTTTGGGGATTCTAGGGTCACAAAGAAAGAAAGAGGCTCAGGAGCCATATTTGATTTACCAGCTTTTGCATTATATGTTTCTTTCATACAATAGTTATTATTTTCCTCTTGAGATATGTTATGTTGAGATGCAAAGCAATATTTTTCTTCCTGCCCAATTTATTGTATGGATTATTCCACAAGTAATTTATTACATTTAATATTTTTTCAATATATAAATAGTTTCATATTGCATAGCTTTAAATATCTCCAGTGGAATCATATTCCATTATCAAATGTATAGTAAACCAGGTACATACTTAGTATTCTCAGGGTGTGGAAAAATCACATTAACATTTCTAATAAAGCATACTAGATACTGAAACTTTATACAGTTGATTCTTAAAGTTGTGACTAATTTTGCTATAAACTATACACTTATTCAAATTGAAATCATACAAATAACCAATAAAAAATTACATGATACATAAATACTCTATGCAAAGTTTTTATGAACCCTGCTTAATTTTGTATCCGAATTTTGAATTCTACTTTTCCTTCGTATGGATCATGTGGGTTATCTGAAGTAATTCCAGTGCCAATAACTCTGCATACTATGTGTAGTTCTTTGTTTAAAGAAATGTTGAGAAGTTTCACTGCTACCAATGGATTAGTGTAGTTAGGCTAAGATGGAAATAAATACAACAAATGTTAATAAAGTTAAAATATATGCAATAAACCTATTATATAACATAGAACAAGTTGAAGGGAAAAAAACATACCTGTGCCTTAAGTCCATAGTAAGGGAAGTAGTGAAGGCTAAAAGTTCCATTTGCAGGATAATATGCCACTTCAAGTGGGCTGGCATCCTTCAAATGATCATAAATAAGGTAAGTGTTAACACTAGTATGAGTTAACATCTAGATTCAATGTATGCTATCGCACAGTGTGAAAATGGACCATATAGTAATATAGTCATGTTTTCCCTTAAGTATGTGAGCTTAATTAGTCTTATTTGGAAGTAAAGTTTCATTATTTAAAACTGAACTGGACATGTCTGATAATATCTCAGTAAAATGGCAGCTGCATTCTGTGCCATCATACATCGTACAATTTCTGCAAACCTCAGGAGGCAAGAAGATTTGCTTCACGTGCCAATTTAGATATATGATTAATAATAAAACTACTCAATAATTTTACTGAGCACATGACAGGTTTCAAAACAACTGTTGAAACTTCCTTGAGGAAAAAGCAGCTTGGGTGATAATTATGCAGCATGAGGACAAAGGAAGAAAAGCTGTTGCTAGTATTTGGATTTCGCAGTTGGGCTCTATGTGGGCTGCCTAAGATCTGGAGACCGTTGCAATGCACACTTACCAGAGCTGTGCAGTTTACTCTTGGTGCAGTGCCATTGCCAGGGAGAAAATTGATAATCTGTAATACAATTTCCTTATTAAGAGTTTTGTAATTTAGCATTAATAAACCAAAGTGCAGTCATTAGGCAGCTGTAGAGATTAAATGATTATATCCACCAAACACAGGATTTCTATAAGCCATCCTTTTGCGATTGCTGCAACTGATCTCCGTACTTCGCTTTTTCTATGTATTTTACTCTAAAACTTGTTTTCCTCTCTTGGATGTCATGAGAATTTATTAAAATAAGGCATACTCAAGCTTCCCTCATTTGCAGGCTCATGTTCTAATAATGTTTTTGTATCCTTTGCAGAACACTGAGTGCAGAAATAATAAAGTATCTGTCAGCAAAGTTTCCCTTCCTAGTAGCTGCTGTTAAACTATGCTTTTAGCATCTATTATACTTACTCTGTTCATCTTTATTATTAAGCATGGCCTTCCTTCAGGAAAACCAAAAGTGGGATCCGTCACACCAGAGCAGTTTTCAAGTATATCTTTTGTAAATTTGCAAGAATATTTTTCCTTATTTGGAGCATCAAATGTCGTTTGGAAGTAATAACTTTCACGAGTACAGTTGATGTTGCCTTGTTGCATAGTTTCATTGTATGCTAGAGAGAAAGCAGAAGAGAAATAAGCATTTTCCACCAGCAGGTAGAAATAAATAATAAATAGCTGTGGATAGGGTTTTTATTTCTAGATTTTGATTCATGTAATACTTTCAAATGTGCTTATTCTTGCCTTTTAATGCTTTCAAAGCTTCTGTTACTTGGTCACTTCAGCTATTATATGCAACAGCAGCCTAACTACTTCTTGCCAGATGGGAAAGATGAGTCAGATTATAAACAGCTGCCCAGTATTTTTTGGTTCCCAACTAAATCAGGGAGTGGCCAAGCTCCTATATAATGCTGAACAAGTCATAATGGCCTGGTTTGCATGATGCTAAGCCATAGTCAGTTACTACTCACATCACTCTTAGCCAAAATGAAATGTCTCCTAAACAAGCTCAAAGCTCCTGTGCATTTGAGAGGTGACCTCTGTCTTATGATGTGGGTCCTCCTAGCAGCAGATTTGATGTGGTAGGCCACTTTTATGAAGGGAAACTTTGAAAATGCTGGTTAAAGATAACTGCCCAAAGGCCATTATACTCCATTGCAGCTTTCCAAAGTGGGTGCTCTCCAGATGTCTGGGACTTAACTCAGTATTCCTAGCCCACCACAGTAATCGTGATTCCAACATTTCCAGATTGCGAAATGTTACATTAATATGCTGCTTTTTGTTTGTTTCGTGTTGGTTGTTGAATTGTATATCTTTATTCTAGTGGTAGCTTTGCATTTTGTGAACTATTGTAGAACTTTCAGAATATATGTGAAAGTTCCAAAATGAATACAAAACTCCAGAGTAATCCATCTGTTGTTTAGGACAAATAAAGAGAAGAGAAGTGGGACTTTTTCAATAGCACTCAGAAGCAACTATAAAAATTCAGTGTTTTTCCTCCACTGTGCCTTCCAATCTGTTACATTGTCCCTCCCAATTCCTCAGAGTAGATTTTGTGATACAGGGAACTGAAGGGGACATCATCCCTCTATTTTGCTAACTGTTTCAATAGGCCAAAAAAACCTTACTGCATATCACCCTCAGTTTCCGACCTGCTTTTGATGGAATTTCAAGACAAAAGGCTTTAGTGCTATCAAAAGTATCTTTAAATGCACTAAATCCAACAAAACCCATTTCAATGCAGTATCACTTCATTTCCCTGGGTTTATTTCCCTTCATGGTGTTTTGCTTCAGATGTGGCTAATATCAGTAGATTAGCTCTACTTTGCACTTTGATAAATCTGCATTGGCAAAAAAATCAGTATCTTAATTTAAAGTTGTATGGGTGCTTGTTATGCTCATATGATGCTTGGTTTCCCACTGAAATGACCCTATGTGCATAGAATTTTTGCTGATGTTACAACAAAGTTCACATTGACATTTTATTTACAGATAATATACCATCATATACAGGTAGTCCTCACTTAATGACCACAATAGGGACTGGAAAATTCATCGTTAAGCTGGACGGTTGTTAAGTGAGGCATCACATGACCACACCTGATTTTACTACATTTTTTTGCAGTGGTTGTTAAGCTAATCACTCTTCGTTAAGCCAATCACATGGTTCCCATTGATTTTGCTTGCTGGAAGCTGGCTGGGAAAGTCACAAATGGCAATCATGTGACCCCAGGACACTGCAACTGTCATAAGTGCAAGCTGGTTGCCAAGCTTCTGGATTGTGATCACATGATGGGCACTGTGTGAAGACCAGTCATAAGTAGCTTTAGCACTGTTGTAACTTTGAACAGTCACTAAATGAATGGTCATTAAGCGAGGACTACCTGTAGTAAAATGCAAGCTGAAAATTGATTTTCTGGTATATGAAAAATTACACTTTTATCTTCAGTGGTGCTTTCAATGGAAGCTAATTGCCCTTTTTTTGTAATTAAATTGTCTTCTCTACTAAAATGCCACTATCTCAAAAGATGAAGACCTTATATTGTCCTGTATCTTTTTTTTTTTTAAGCAGGAGTCTTGGTAAAAAAAATTTCCAGCAAATACTTTGTTAACTGAAACTCAAACTAACCTGTGTATATTTCATAAAACTTTTTCAAATTTCTGTTTTCCTTTTCTCTGTAACCTTCAAATTTTTAATAAAACTTCTACACTGTCATATCCTGTTTGCATACCACTGCTCTCTCTTTACCTGAAAGAAAGTTCTGAAGTGTTGCAATATAACCATCCCAGGAGGACTGCTGAGAAATATTATAATAAATTTCCAATCCTTTTTCTCCGTATACATCTGGTCGTAATGTCACTCCTTTAGTGATAAATCAAAAATAAAAGAATAAAAATACAAAATATACAGCTTGTTTATCAAGTCTTTTTTTTACAAAATCAAGTGTGGAGTAAAATTTAAATGCAAAATATGTTTCTAGCAATGTAGTCTTTAGATGTCCAGAAATATATAGTCCCAAATTACATTTGTTCTTCTGTCAACTGATGGGGTTTTTTTGTTTGTTTAAAGCAGTCTTGTAGAATGCAAGGTTCAGTTAATAAAAATGCCCATTGATTATTTAAACATGCAGACTTTATCCATCACTAGATGTAATACCATTATGTTTCATTTTCATTTAAGTTCATTCTTTGCGATGTTTTTTAATGCAAAACAACTTATACATATAAAGTGGTACAACGCAGCTTTTTGCTTGCTGTTTTTCTTCTTGTACTTAAGCTGTTGGTTTTATTGTTCTGTAGTGTGATAGATTTATTCCTGTTATATACCATAATTGTCCTAGGATGAAAAGTGAACTAAAAATACTTTTGGTAAACAGTATTTATACAACAAATCTCAATGCATTTGATAGGTCTTTTCCCCTTATATGCATGTCTACTCAGAAGTAAAATTATTTGAGATCAAGCTGGGTTTATAGAGTATAGGTTATTCTTTTAACCAACAGTTCATAATGATTTGAAGAGCAGTTTTGAATTTCTGTGTTCTACTTCTGTCTCATAGTATTTTATCCCATAAATTTAGATGATACGTTTACCTTATCCATCAAATAATTGTGGGTCATATAGGTTTAATAACAAAATGGGAAACAATGTAAAAATACCTGGTGATTTTAATTGATCTTGATAATCCGGTGTATATGGATTAAGTGTCCTCATTAAAGAATAGATAGCAAGTGAGAATAGCCCAGTCATTACCACATAGAATGCAACATAGTAAAGACTAATCCATACTGTAAGAAAACAATAAAAAATAGATTTTAAAAAATAAAAGGATGTCTGTTAATCTGGCTCAATTTAATTCAAACAAATTACTGCATGTCATCAGATGTTGAAATTGTAGTTCAAATTGTATTATGTTCAAAATGCGCTCAGCACTGGAATTCCTGCAATTAAATAATGAGTGGAGTGGGAAGGAGAAGGATATGGAGGCTAGAACATCAGTGCTACTTGCTTTCTAGACTTGGGATGACCAAATGCACTCCTTTGTTACCAAAACCATGCTGTACAACTAAAAGTAGAGTTCAATTCCTTTCAGCTCTAAATTTTGAAAATCTCCAAACTGATTCCAAGCTATAGTTCTGGCAGAGGGTATTAGTTAATCCTTACTCTGAAAAATACACATTTTAAAATGTGACAACTATTGAATTCTAAAGGGGGGAAAGAGAAATTCTATAAGTAACTAGAGCTGGATTAAAGTTTATGTATACAGACTGGTGCATTATCAAATAGTGCTCAGTAACCTGCTGAGAATTCTCAAGACCAGTTAAGTTTCTTCTTCAGGAATTGTATATTGGTGAATAAAAAAGGAATTAGATTCTTTGGAAGTCAAAGGACAGCTCTAAGCAACTAGAAGCACCAAGAAAAATATGTTAGTACTATGCAGATAGCAAACTACATTTGAGATTTTCATAAAGAGGTCTGCCATTCCAAATCAGAAATAGTCTCAGCCAGCTGTCCCCTACATACACACTCTCACACCTTGCATTCCTAGAACCTGTTTCCAAATTAAGACCAAAGAGAAAAATGTTGACATGTTTCTTTTTCTGTTTTCTGGGCCCTTTTAGAGTAATGTTTTATTCTGCTCACAATTTACAAAGCCAGTTGTCTCATCTCCAAGGAAGCAGCCCTGTGGTTTCTGGGGATATTTGCAGCCATAAACTGTGTTGGAGTTTTCTGTCTGAGATGAACAGAAATCTAAGCCTGGGAATTTCTGAAATGACTGAAAGGGCAAGCTGGAAACCAAGTAGGGTAAAGCTGAGGATACAGTGGGTCCTAAGCCTTATCCAATCCTTGGCCTTTGCTACAGAAGGCATTTGAAAACATTTATAATCAAATTAGATTTTAAAGTTTTCAAATGTTTTTCTTTTTGAATGAATGCATTTAAAAAGAAATAGAAGAGCTGTGAAAGCCAGTCTGGTTGAGAAGGCATTTGGAATCATTTCAATTCTATTGCTCTATATAAGTAATTTATATTAACTTGAATGCTAGCATGGTTCTCAAAATTATTTTTAATTTCTAGCTCCTCCAAATATTTGGGGAACTGACTTCAGTGTTCTGTAAAGCAGCTTTCAGTCCTCATTACTGATCTTAAAACAAGTTCCAGAAATTCTAAAATCATACTTCTTTTAATGTTTGTTAACACATACCCCAATTAATCAAAGTTCTTCCCATTAACTGTCCTGTGTCTGGATTCCATAAAAAACGTTGGAAATTTTCCATTCTTTGGCTACAGGTCTTCTTTTCATTTAAAGTTGCCATTTTCCACCTTGAGATCTAGGAGCTGCAGAAACCAAGCTCTTCTACTGGTGCCCAAGGATTTGGCAAGATATCTATTTTGGTTTTATACCCTTTTTCTCTGAAGGTCATACAGATTATATCCATCACCAGCAAAAGCTGATAACAGCATATACCTGCCCACAATCTTTTTTTTTTAAGGTAACTTGATAAGCAAAATTTTTTGATTGGTTAACAGAAAGCTAATAGCCATCAAATGTTCTTTTCTCTTGATGTTACTTATTTTTCAGAACTTGTGATACCTTCAACACAATAGGTGTTATCAAAGCAGATACAATATTAACAACGTCTCTGGATAAGCTGCAGACATTGTATCTACGTAGTTTTATAGTGTTTCTGTCAACACTCTTGTTCAAGTGGAGATTTCTGTGGAACACTCCAATTACAATTCATAGCTTCCTAGAAGCAGACAAGTTGTATTTGATTCTTAGGTAAAGCGATTGAACAACTGATATTGTCCTCTGCTGATTCTGTTTCTTCAGCCACAGTAAGTGCTGTTAAAGCCAAAAATATGAATGTGTCTGAAGAACTGGAGAATAGCAACCTAAAACAAGTAAAACTCTAATATTAAATCTTATTACTGCTTGCTATATTCAATAGCACTTAACTTTGATTAGACATACATATATAGCATTGCACTTAAAATCTTATTTAAATGTATTTTTGATGAGCAATTGAGTAGAACGTGGTAAGCACACATATCAAAGCTAAAATTGTTTAAAATGAATATATATTCAAAATCACTGCAAGCCAGCATGGTGCAGTGGGTAAGGTGCTAGACTGGATGTGGGAAAACTCAGGTTCTAGTCCTCCTTAGGCACAGAATCCAGCTGGGTGACCTTGGGCCAGTCAAAACAGCATCAGCTTGTGGCAAGCCAGCTGTAGAGCACACCCCTTGTCATGTCATGCATTGATGTCTTTGCCCTGTGAACTAGACGTAGCACAGTACCAACAAGTAGGTCTTGAACTGAGGGGACAAATGCTAGGAAAAAAACATTTATTCAAAAAAAACTTTTTTTCCAGGGTGGTCGAGTATGACTACAATTCACATGTTTGGAGGAGAGAGTAGTAGGATCTTTCAGGCATGTGGGCCAGACTAGGAGTTGGGGATGGGGTGGGGAACATCCTGGAAGAAAAGTTTGGCAGGTTACTTCCATCTTTCTGGCAAGAAAGCAACATGGTCATGACCATGTAATCTAGCTCAACCTGATGGCAACTTAGAATTTCTGATGGTCAGGGCTCATGCCTAGTGGACACAAACGACAACCATTTCCTGTGTCTGAAGCATGGTGCTTATGAACTAGTCAGACATATCTACTAAATACTGTTCCATTCTTAACAAGTCAAAATTATTCCTTCTCTTACAATACGTACTGTGATTCTTTAAAATTTCATTGCTTTAATTAGAGTATTCCTCCCATTCCATTATAAAGGTTATGTAAGGTAGGGGTGGTCATCCGTTTGATGGCCAAGAAACAACCGTAATATTTGAGATGAAAGCTGGAAAGTGAATACAGCCCCCTATCACATGTGAGTGAGAATGGAGTTTTCTGAAGGGAATTGGGAGTGTATTTTTACAACGTTCCCATTTCCCACTTCAAATGGCTGGAAACCATGCAGTCAGTTTTTTGTAATGGCCAAAGAGGACCCTCGGGTTTTCTAGGGTCTTTTGCAGCCCTGGAGCTGTAAGTTGCCTGTCCCTGATTTAAGTAGAATGAAAGACAAAACGCCTCCAGCACCATTTTATCAGAATGGAAATGCATTTGTCATGGCCATTTTTATTCCGGTATCATACTGTGTTATGTTTAGAAAAAGCCAAATATTCTGGGTATTTTATTTATTTATTTATTTATTTATTTAAAAGACTTACGTAGCCACCCATATTATGAACCACAACCCTGGGCAGCTCACACACACACACAAAAAACATAAAATATCCTGACAACCATAATAAAAACTCTGGGATTCCTGGACAAGATAGAGTGTGTTAAGTTCTCTATTTTTATTGAAGTTCGATTTTCAGAACTCTTCTGTACGTTTCATGTCTGTGTTTAGTGAGGTACATTGTATGCTATATTGTACTTTAATCCTGTAGTTATGATTGCTTCCTGTGATAGCGAAGTCATTAAAAATACCCGTGGAGTAGTCTTATACTGGTCCACAGGAGATATCTGCATATATGTTAGTTCAGTGTTTTTTCATAGTCAAAATAATTTGAAATATGTATATTCATTGTGTTTCTTTTACTTGTCCTTGGTATTTTCAAATATTACAGCCTGTAGCCAAAATAGATAGTCTCACTAATTCAGTACTGCAGCTTCAACCCAAATCCCTAATTTCATTTTTTTTTTTTTTTGTCTCTTATGTAAGATTGTTATATCAGCGGCTTACT